TTAAAGGGATAGTTCACCCAAAAATGAAAATTCTGTCATTAATTACTCACCCTCATGTCGTTTCAAACCCGTAAGACCTTCGTTCATCTTCAGAACACAAATTAAGATATTTTGGATGGAATCTGAGAGCTGTCTGACCCTGCATGGACCGCAATACAACTGAAATGTTCCCAGACAGAAACGTAGCAAGGAGATCTGTAAAATAATCCATGTGACATCAGGGGTTCAATCGTAATTATATGAAGCAACGAGAATACTTTTTGTGTGCAAAAGAAAAAAAACTAATGATTTTCGTTATTAATTCGTCTCCTCCGCATCACCCTGGTGCCATTTTAGAGAATATCCGCTGGACATAAACAGCGCATGCTGTTCGGTGTCAGCTGCGTCACGCCGGATCTGTTTCCTACGTTGTTGTGATTTGATCTGAACGGAAACCGCGTATCCGTGGAGGAGATGAATTGTTGAATAAAGTCGTTTTTTCTTTTCTTTTGCTCAACAAAAAGTATTCTCGTTGCTTCATATAATTACGATTGAACCCCTGATGTCACATGGATTATTTTACAGATCTCCTTGCTACGTCTCTGGACCTGGGAACATTTCAGTTGTATTGCGGTCCATGCAGGGTCAGACAGCTCTCAGATTCCATCCAAAATATCTTAATTTGTGTTCTGAAGATGAACGAAGGTCTTACGGGTTTGAAACGACATGAGGGTGAGTAATTAATGACAGAATTTTCATTTTTGGGTGAACTATCCCTTTAATGGGAAGGTCTGAATAGCACAGTCTGTTTAACATAGCAAAAACGGGCTGCTTTAAAGCACTAAATAAAGTGATTTGTGGGCTACAGATTTTTTTATTTCATTAAATCAAAAATTATAAACAGTCATCAGAAATGTTCTTAATACAAGGAGACATATTATATTTACACTACTGTTCAAATGTTTGGGGTCGCCAAGATATTTTATTGTTTTAAAAATCATAATAAACAAACAAAAATATAACAGTCTCTTAATCTCACCAAGGCTGTTCATCAAAAATATAATAATAATAATACAACAGTAATATTGAAAAATCAATCAATTTAAAATAACAGTTTTCTATTTCTGTATATTTTAAAATGTCCCTTATTCTTGTGATGGCAAAGCCGTCAGCCGTTTTTCAGCATCATTACTCCAGACATTAGTGTCACATGATCCTTCAGAAATCATTCTAATATGCTGATTTTGTGCTTAAGAAACAATTCCTGTTATCAATGTTGAAAACAGTTGTTCTGTTTAATAATTTTGGGGAAACTGTGATGTTTTTCAGGATTCTTTGGTGAATAAAAAGTTCAAAATAACATTATTTGACATTATAAATGTCTTTATTGTCAATCAATTTAATGCCTCCTTGATGAATATAAGTATTTTCTTTCCAAAACAAATCCTACAGACCGCAAAATTTGAATGCTTGTGTGCATTTAAACTGAAATGTATTCAAGTGTAACTATGTAAACATTTGAATCATCTGCATCGAGTCAGATTTGATTGCTGTCCGTATGTGTTGTTTCAAACGTAAAACACCTATTTTTTTCAAACATTTCATTTATGTTGCTTCATAGAAGACTACATGTCACAAGGTTGTTGATAAACAGTTTAAAGGGGTCCTATTATGCTTTTTGACTTTTTCAACTTTAGTTAGTGCAGTAACGTTGCTGTTTGAGCATAAAAAAGATCTGCAAAGTTACAAAGCTCAAAGTCCAATTCTAAAAGGAGATATTTTATTTAACAGAAATCACTTTTCAAAAACTACAACGAATGACTCGTTTGGACAACAAGGCATATTTTCCGGGATTTGTGCTATCAGCTGCACTAGAGATAGTGAGGGAGATAAGAACACCTAATCTGCCACTGAACTCCTTGTAATCCACTCAATAAATCCTTTTAGGAGGTCCACAGTTCAATGGCTCCCTCCCTCTGCTTCCATGTTTCTCTTACATATACATGACCAGACTGAATTGAATAAACATTTCACAATCTTATATCTTAAACATGTTTTACCTGCCAGCCTCGAAGGTGAAGCGTGTAGCATCCCTTCCATAGCGTCTAAGCGAGCAAAGCGGCCAGGTTACTAGTTTGGTACGTGGGTTGTGAATGTCCCACAGGTAAATGTTTTCATGCGTGATCTGCATCATACACTCCCCGTAGATGTCAAGATTAGGGCAGGGCAACAGGAACACGTTAAAGCGCTCTGTATGGGGGAAAAAAACGAGAGACTGATAGTGAAAAATAGGTATTTGGTTAACAGTTTAGTCACTACACTGTAAAAATTTTTTAGTTTTTACAGAAAAAATTAAAATGCTACAGTAAGAATCTGTTAACAGGTTAAGTGTAAGTTACCTTTAGATATATGGTGAAAAACTAAATGGTTTAGCATCACTTTGACAAATGCATTGTTTCTGCAAATGGAAAATGATGAACATTTACTGTATAATTTATGGTGAAATATAGTGAAAGTCCCTGTGTGACACATCACAGATGATTATATTTTACATAAATGTGACCCTGGGCCACAAAACCATAAGGGTCCATTTTTTTAGCTTTATTTTTGAGAGTTATGAATAAATAAGCTCTCCATTGATGTATGGTTTGTTAGGATCGGACAATATTTGGCCGAGATCTGAAATCTGAGGGTAAACAAAATAAAAAATCTAAATATTGAGAAAATCGCCTTTAAAGTTGTCCAAATTATGTCCTTAGCAATGCATATTAAGTTTTTATATATTTACAGTAGTACATTTACAAAATATCTTCATGAAACATGATCTTCACTTAATATCCTAATGTTTTTTGGCATAAAAGAAAAATCGATAATTTTGACCCATACAATGTATTGTTGGCTATTGCTATATAGTCACAAATAATCCAAATAATTTAGTGTTATGTTATGGATAGACCAATTACAAAGTACTCTGATTGATCATGTGGCTTTCTGTTTTACCCCTGTATTTTTATGGAGGTTATCAGTACATTTTAAGGTAAAAAAGGCGATTTTGTATGTTCAAGTAGATCAGTGCATCATATTACTTAATGCAGTGGTTCCCAATCCTGGTCCTGGAGAACCCCCAACATTGCACATTTTAAATGTCTCCCTATTTAAACACACCTGATTCAACTCATCAGCTCATTAGTGAAGACTCCAAGACCTCAAATGTGAGTGTCAGATAAGAGAGACACCAAAAACGTGCAGTGTTGGGGGTTCTCCAGGACCAGGATTGGGAACCACTGACTTAATGAAATATACAGTTGTAAGTTGTAAAATATATGGCATCAATATTCCTGAAACACGGTCATAATATTTCCACCGTGAATTTCTGGCAACCACAGCTGTTTTTTTTAATGTAAATTTAACAGAATATATTCTACAGTGTAGATTAAACTAAGTGTTACCATGTTGTCACTAAAGTACGCAACAAATCTAAAGCCGTACACTTGATATAAAACAAGCTACAGGAATCTAGCTCATAGGTAAGCAATAGTACAAATGGCTTTAGTATCTTACTGTACCTGTGTGTTCACACTGAACTCCAGCAGCCAGGAGGTCTGGTTCTCCAAGACTGATGTCATTAAGACGCATCCCCAGGCACTCGATAGACAAGGTCTTGAACCACTCTTCAGCCTCCAGCTCTATGAGAACAGGAAGATTCAATGATGTCAATGAATGAACATGTTCTTTCAATGAAAATGTTCTATGAATAAAACATACACTAGGAAGTGCGCTTTGTAAATGTGTCTGAGAGCAGCACGTCATCAGACCGTATAGACCGAAATGCTAATATCAAGAATGAAAGCTGGGGCAGCAAAACAAGCCTTAGTAAAAGATGATGTACCTGATTCACAGGTGAAGGTTCGAGAGGTGTCATCTGTAAAGACGATGGCCACAGCTTGCCGCTTTGTGTCACGAGGCAATCTTGTGATGTTCTTCACATTACTAATCTCTGTCACCTGTGTGTAAAAGGAAACCGATGCAACTCAGAAGTAGTGACAGAGCCTAGTTATTCAGAAAGGCTTCATTTACATCATTTGGAAAGGCACTTGTGCTCTCTTAATCATCTAATTTATCTTTCACTTTCTATAGCGGGTTGTGGGAGCAGCAGAGTGCAGTAAAGAAAGGCAAATGAGAGCGATAAACACACAGAAACCGGAGGCCTGTGAGTCAGCAAAGTTAGAGCGAATCGTGAGAGTCTGTGCATGGATACTTTTATGCAAGAAATGATCTGTTTACACACGGCCGGTCTCGTAATCTCGCCCGCCAGCTCTCGCAGTATGAATGAGCTCTGCGTGGCTGTTAGTATAATTGGAGAACTGAAGTGACACTTGAATGTTTTCCTTGAATGTTTCATTTCTCCCGTGACAATTTCAGGGCTTAGATTAGACCTCATTGAGAAGTGTACCTTAGGACAGGCTCTGATGTAGGCGGACTTCTCATCAGGGTATTTTTCCAGTCTGCGAGGTCCTTTACTGGACGACTTCTTAAACACCAGCCAGCAGCGCCGATAGATCTGAAACACATGTGCACATAATCACATAGGGTTCAAAAATAACACTCACCAGCAGTAGAAATTGGCCTTAGTGAGTAAATCAATTGAATAACTGTCAAGTAACTTTTAGGATTCACAGCAAAATAGGAATGCATTGATAAGCCAATCAGTTTATAATGGCAGAGACAAAATAGAAGATTAATGCTGACACTACTAATATCAACATTATTTTATCTAAATAAATAAAAAACAATGAAAATTAAAGTAAGACAATTTAAGTGGATTTAAACATCAAAACCGTGAACAGTATGAAAAATGGATATTCCATTTGGAATTTGCTTAAAATTACATTTAACAGTGTTATTAAATGATTAATGTTGTTAAATATTAAATGTCAGAGGGTTAGATGAAGGCAAACATAATCTAAATGTAAAAATATGGAAAAAATTAGAAAGTAAAAAATTATTTTTTTATATTTTTATATTTAATGTCTATTATAATCACCAAGGCTGCATACATTTGATAAAAAAACAGTAAATTATTGTGAAATATTAAACAATAATATTGTGAAATAATAACATTTAAAATAATTTAACTACATTTTATGTATTTTAAGATGTAATTTATTCCGGTGTTGGCAAAGCAGCCATTACTGCAGTCTTCAGTATCACATGATCCTTCGGAAATATGCTGATTTGGTGCTCAAGTAACATTTATCATTTATCACTAGTGATAAAAAACAGTTGTGCTGCTTAATATTTCTGTAGAAACCTTTTTTTCAGGATTCTTTGACGAATAGAAAGTTCAAAAGTGCAGCATTTATTTGATCTTTTGCAACATTACATTATACAGGTGCATCTCAA